CTCCCGAGCGCCTCCCAGGAATCGAGGCTCGCCTCTGGGGTGGTCGGCGTCGGAAAACGCGTCGTGGTCGTAGGCGTTGCGCCCGGCATGGTCGGCGTTGTAGTGGTCCTCGTTCCGCGCGGGTCGGTAACTGTCCAAGGGTCCCCGTCCGCAACTGTCGCCTGGTCGTCGATCGGTGGCGGATAGGACGGCGGAGGAGGGCTGGCTGCCCAGACGAGGATGCCGCTGCCGAGCCTGTTGCACCGATGGCCGCCGTCGGGGCCTGGGGAAAGGGAGCGGCTGCCATCGCCGCTGCAGCTGCCTGCTGAGGAACGTGCCACTGATCCTCGACCTGCTGACCTCCGTTGGCCACGTGTGCTATGGCCGCCACTGCCGTGCCCGCGTTCACGAGCATGAACCCGATCTGGCCGATCGCCGTCTCCATCCCGGAGAGGGTGCCCGCAATGGCGTTGACTGACTCCTGGAGCGTGTCGATAGCAATCGCGAAGTCCGCCATCCCGGTGAGCTGCGTCTTGATGGCGGTGATGCCCTGGAAGATCTGCTGGGGCCCCTCCTCCATCTGCGTGGGAAACTGCTGTGTCTGCGTCGCGACCTGGATCATCTGGTCCACCACCGACTGTACCTGGCCCAGCGCTCGAACTCCTTCTGGAATCGCCTGGACCTGCCACTGGAGGCCCTGGAGCAGACCGTATAGCTGATTCACCGTCGTCAGCGCCGCGCCACCTGCGCCTTGAACTGCGGGTCGCCGGTCGCGAAGTCCACCGCTCTCTGAGCTGATGACGCCGCCGCCCGAGCGGCCTCGGCCGCCGTAGGCGCTGCCGGAGCACCTCCTTGGCCAGCGCGGCCTCCGGGGATCCATGCAATGCGCGCTCCGCAGAGTGCACCTCGATCCCAAGCCGTGCTGATCCCCGTAGTACTTGATCGCCGAGGCCGGGTGGCTGCAGCGGGGCGGGGCCTTGGGAGGTGGCTTCCCCGCGGCTGGCCCGAACAGCGCTCCTGGCGTCGGCGCTGTCGCTCCGCCTCCGACCGCCGTGGCAGCCGCCGCCCCGTCCGCTGCTGCTGCCGCGGCCGCGAGAGAAGCCCTGGTGGCAGAGGTGGCTGGCCGCGATGCTCGGCACCCGCCTGTGCCAAGGCATACAGCGCCTGATGCATCGTCGGCTGGTTGGTCCCCTCGATCGGTGGAGCTGGTGGCCACTGGGACGCCTCTGCCGCCGCCCCCCACAACGCTGGCTGTGGCTTCGGTGCGGGTCGGTGCTGCTGAAGGAGTGGAGGGGGCGCCTTTGTCGCCGGAAGACTCGTCGTAGCCTGGGCTGGTCCGAGACTCATCGGGGTCGGCAGCCCGCGCAATGCTTCGAGCGCCTGGCACTGCTGGTCGTCCGATGCGCTGCTGGCTACGGGCTCCTTTTTCTTGCCTCCGACGACCGGGTGCACCCCCGAGAGCCAGCGCCATCGCCACGCGAAACATGAACATGGATGGAATCGCCCAGGATGTGACTCCGAAGGTGATCGAGATCGAAAGCTCGGAATTGCCGAAACGAGCTCGAGCCTAAACTGGCCGCGGAAATCACCGAGACAATCTGAACCCATATGGGTACCACCGAGAAACAAAGAGCCCCGAGGTCATAAAAGGCTCTGCCCATTGATCTGAGGTCGAGGGCTCTGGTCGTCTCGCTGGCCTGGCTCTGATTGCACTTCTCATCCTTACCTTCTCCGCGGGATCCCGAGGCCCGGACCGTTGCTAGGCCGCTCCACTGAGCTCGTGGCTGGTGCTGGTCGCTAAACTCGAGCTCGATCGATAATGGTCGTTCCCAGGCTCGACCCCGAAGTACGGCGCCGCGTTCGATTCGATTGAGGCCAAGGGGGAGGAGGTAGAGGACAGCCCTGTAAGCGCTCATCTCCCCGCTGGCGCTCATCGCAGGTGGTGATTGTCCAACGGCCAATGCAAAGGAAGACGCCGTCAGAAAAGGATACTTCCGAAGCGCACTGTCTGGGGTGGTGTGGCCCCCCCTGGGCCCCCGCACGATATCGGCCACGCGGTGACCTGAGCCCAGCTTGGTGACAGGAATGTCCTGTGCTAGAAACTGCGAAATCAGAAGATTACCAGGGAGATCGAGCACGCATACTAGAACATCCAGCAGGTTGACACTCAGTATGTGCGGAACGTCTTCGTCCAGCACAGTGGCCTCCACGACTCCCATCGCTCCGCCGAGGCACATCGGATACAGAATGGTACAGATCACCTCTGCCTCGCCTCCGATGCCGTGCGCCTTCTTGGGCGCCTTGGACTCTCCTGGTACTACTGCGTAGCGAAGACCGTGACCAGCCAGCGCCTCGGCCTCTCGGTTTAGTGATGGCAGTCCCACGATGTCGCTGCCGGCCCCTGGGTCCACGAGGCCCTGCGTCGCGGAGGCGTTGAGGTAGACCTCGATGGCCTGCGCCTCCTTCCGAATGCCCTTCAGCTACTCCAGCTCGTCATTGTTCATGATCGGATAGTTGCAGCCGTCGAGCGTGTACCCGGCCAAGCTTCGTTTTGACCGATCAAGTCCTTTGCCGCCGTCATCCTTCCGCGGCTGGGGACACCCCCGTGACCAGTGGCCCTTTTCGTTGAAATTCTTGCAGCGGGTGACCTTCATGAGGCTGCGCTGCTGCCGAACCCTGGGCTGAGGTTCTTCACGGCGTCCTTCACCGCCTGCTGGATCAGCTGCTTCAGCTGCTCCGTGACCTGTGGGCTCGAGCTCGCAGCGCCTCCGGTGGATGGCGGGAGCGCTGTCCCCTCCCCAGTCCCCTCTGACTGGGCTGAGCGCCCTCCGCCGATGACGGCGTACGTCTCGTTCTTGTCGTCTCCTGGGCCGGTGTCGTCCGGCCCTGGCATCAATGCCTGCCGTGGATCCGCGCTCTGTCCAGTCCGGTGAGAGCAGCGCCCGCGCAGCCGCCCGAGCTGCCCCCGGCACCACCGCTGATCAGCGGTACCTGGAGGCACCCATGCATGCCGCGCCGAACACTGCTCCGCTACCAACTGTGGCAGCAGCAGGATGAACGGATGCATTTTGGCCTTGAGCCAGAAAGCGGCAACCACAATACATCCTTCCCTGAAACACTTACGAGCAATCCTGGCCTCCCGTGAGCTGGAATGTTGGGCTTCACGGGAAAGAACATTATGCTAAACCTATATCGATAAAACACAAGAGTCTCCACAATCTGACAATCCGCCCGAGATACCTGTGAAAAATCGCCACGCACATCCCTGCCGCGCTCCCTCAAAGAAGGGGGAAAAGGAGGAGCAGGAAGAGGAGGAGGGGGGGAGGAGGAAGACGAGGAGGAGGAGGAGGAGGAGGTTGAGGACGAGGAGGAGAAGGATGAGCAGGGAGGAAAACGAAGAGAGGACGGAGGAGGGATGAGAGAGGAGAGGAGAAAGGAGAAGAGATCGAGAATGTGGATGGTGATGCTGATGAGGAAGAGGATGATGAAGAGGAGGAGGAGAAGGATGATGATGAGGAGGAGGAAGGATGACCTCCAGGGACGTTCCTGATCCGCACCCTCTTCATGCTTATTCTCATCATCCTGATCCTCGCTCTCCTCGTGATGCTCACTCTGCCGACACTCACTCTGCTGATCCTTTTCCCTGCTCCACACTCGCCCGATCCTCATTCTGCTGATCTTCATTATCCTCATCCTCGCACTCCTGACTCAACCCTCATTCTCCTCATCCTCACCTTCCTGCTCCACGCTCGCCTGATCCTCACCCGCGTGATCACTTTCCTGATCCTCCCCCTCGCGAGTCTCTCCTTCCTCACTTCCACTCTCCTCATCCTCACCCGCCGCACTGCTTCCCGCTCATTCACCTCTCGCCCACAAGCGCACGCTTCTTTTTGAATATACAGAGACTCCCAATCAACCGCAGAGCGGTCGGCTGGTAAAAATCGCATCGGGCCCGAAATTAGCTTCGGAGAACCTGCACAGAACCCAGGACGAGCATACGCTGTCGGTGGGATGCCCAAAATAGTTCGGATGCGCGCGCCTTGGACACAACACGCGAGAGGCCAAGCGGCGCGTCCACTGGGTCGTCGGCGTCACGAACCCTTCCACTCCAGGATGAGGAAGCCCTCCCTTATTCTTAGGTCGGGCATGTCTCCCGACAGGCGGTTTTTGGGTAGAACAAAACAGTCAGATAATATTCAAAAATGAACGAAACATACAAGAACAAGTCGTCCCCAGACAATTTTATGACATATGTTTGATGTTCCCTCCTGTAGTGGGACACGCACGACTTTCAACCTTCTTCTTTTCCTCCTCCCGCTCCCTACCGCCCTCGCACCCGCAACGCCGCCGTCCTCATGCCGTCATGATCCTGGGAACCGCGCCTCGCCCCAGATGCCTTCAGACAGTGGGCCCCTGGCGCGACGAGCACAACAGTAGTGGCTCGAGCCGGAATCTCAGTGGAGGGGTGGTGGTCGGGAAGCCCACCTACAGTCAGATTCGGCAGTTGAGGCGCGTAGCGTCAGAGCCCTGCCACAAGGAACCTTGCTCATTCAGGCCACTTTTCTGGCCCCAGTTGCGAGGAGTGCGCCAGGACGAACCTGAGGAACTACCCAGGGAACCCAGAGCTGCCTCTCATTCCAGCGCGTTCGGGGTGCATCTATAAACGAAGATGCCAGGTCCTTGCACTAGGGCGTCCCCAACACGCTCCCAATGCAAGGGGGCAGTGGAGGAGGAGCAGGAGGATGCAAAGGCGTCTGCACAATAATGCAAGGGTTTCCAACGAAACCCGATCCTCCAGGGCATTGCATCGTTCCTCTAGTCCCTCTCCTCTCTCCTCGCTGCCCCCCAGTTAACCCCCTTTGCTTCACGCCATCATTCTATCCTCACCGTCTGGCTTCGCGCAACCTCAACTATGGCATCCAGCTGCTGCTGCGCGATGGCCCGATTCGACAAGAGAGCCCGGCTCGACTTTGCGGCCACGCTGGTATCTTCGCCAGCATAAGATGGAGACAGAGGAGCCTTTAGCCCACCTGCTCAGCTGGGGGTGCATCCCCACCTGAATTCCCCGTGATGTCGCCCAGCGTCTTGCAAACTGCGATCGTGGGATAGCAGATGATGCCGCACGTGCCGACCATGCAAGGCACCTCCTCGTCGCACGGGATGGCGGCCGCGCCGGCAAGACAGCACATCTGGCCCTGCGACTTGATGCACACGGTAGGCGAAACGCAGCGGATCGCGCAGCAGACGCAGCAGAGAGACTCTGCGCCCTGCTTGCAGCAGAACTCCATCTCGAGGCAGCACATCGTCTCGCTCGCCATGCACCCAATGCACCCATCCCCGAAGAGGCAGCCGTCGTACATACAGCAGCACGCGTCGGTGACAATGATGGCGTTGTTGTCGAGCGCGTCTCCATCGCCTCCCATGGCTGCAAGAGTCCTTTGGGGAAGCCTCGCCCCGGATGCCTTCAGAGCCCCTTGGCGCCACGAGCACAAAAAGCGTCTCGAGCCAGAGTTGCAATGGAGGGGGGAACGAGGAGGCACACCTGCAGTCGGATTCAGCAGCCAGGGCGAGTACAGTGAAAGCCTTGTCACAAGGAAACTGGCTCACAAGGAGCGAGCTGTTCCTGCTGCAGCGTGGGCCTCATGTTCCAATCGGCGCTTTGCTTCCGTCGTTCAGAATGGCGCTCTCGCCCCGGCGCGGGCCACTTTTCAAGATCCTAGTCCTTCTTCATCGTTGTCGCCCTCCTGAGTTCCCCTTCTCCACCTTCCCCTGGTCCTCCTGCTCCTCCCGCTCCTTCCACTCCAGTGCCTGCTGCTGCTGCTGCTCGTGCTCGTCCTCCTCCTTATCTTCCTCGTTCTCCGCTGGCCCATCCTCCTGCTCATACGCCACCTCCTACTCCGCTGTGCGCAATTCCCTTTTCCCGGAAAGGGCTTAGGCCCAGGGTTCTCTGTTAGATGTTTACCCCCCGACCTGACTTGAGGTGGGCCGGCGGAATTATTCCCGGATGAATATCGAGGTCGAGGTGGGCTGGCGGAATTAATTGGGAGGATGTCTCGAGCGAAACCCTTGTTTTTCAGAATTTGTTGAGGATGTCTCGAGCGAAACGCTGGCTTTGCATTGTTTTCAAAATTTGTTGAAGATGTCTCGAGCGAAACGCTGCTTTTGCAGAGCCGACCGCGACGCGGAAAAGCGCCCCGCGCGCAGGAATTCCGAGGATGTCTCGCGCGTGCCGCGTCCCGCGCGCAGGAATTTCGAGGATGTCTCGGCTACTTCGTTTGTTTTTTCTATGCTTCCTTTGAATTTTGGTAGGATGTCTCGAGCGAAATGTTTTTTTTTCGAGCGAAACGCTGGTTTTGCAAAATTTTCATAATTTGTTGAGGATGTCTCGAGCGAAACACTGGTTTTGCAAAATTGGGGGATGTCTCGAACGGGGGCCTCGTGGGGGGCCAGAATTCAGAGGATGTCTCAAGCAAAATGCTGCTACTCATTTTACAGCGGTGAACGTTTGATGGCAGAGCCAGCCGATGCATATGCTTGGAAGGCTTGGCTTAAAGATCCTACTTCCACAGGGAGCGCTCAGGCGGGTGAGGTCGGGGGGGGGGGTAGCTTGAGCAACATTACGGCGACAGAAGTAAAACTCTTAGCAAACCCTTGCCACGCAGAAACATGCTACTCATTCTACAGCGGTGAACGTTTGATGGCAGAGCCGGCCGATGCATATGCTTGGAAGGCTTAGCTTAAGTATCCAAACTCTTTCGCAAAAGCGGAAGTTCACAGCGCAGCGGCAGGCCCCTGTGTTAAAATCAACTGGGGCTCGGACCCCACGAGGACAGGGCCCTGGGCCGGCGGAGTGGCGTCAGACATGACCCTGAAGGAGGGTGCTGGCTAGAAAATTACAAAGCCTGGAGGGGTAGGCAGCAGCCTTGCTCGTCATTGAACTACCTTCAAGTGTAAGGCGCTTCTTGTTTAGCCTGGAACTGCACAAACCGTGCTTCCCGCTGCAGCGGTATCTCCAGGACTCCGTCTTCAGAAGATCTAAGCCGGACACATTCAGAAATAGAAGGTCGGTTGCCTTACGATATCTGGTACCGAACGCGCACTGATGGATAGCCACCCTCTCAAGGTTCGGCACAGCTCGATTCAGCGACGGGTCGGCCCATAGCCTAGAAGTCTGTAGGTTCTCGAGGGCACAAGAAATAGTGTGCCTTCGGCAGGCCCGCAAAACAAGTATACAGGTATCTAGGCAAGCACTTTCCACCTTCACCTTATATGCATCGAGGGGCGATAGATTGGGCAGGCCTCGCACGTGCCGAGCGTCGCGCACAGGGTACCTGTTGCGCGCGACTGAGAAGGTGGCGCACGGCGGTGCCATCATCACTGCCACCACCCTGCCGTCTGCAAGGTGCCTGAGGATCAAACGTAAATTCACCCTGGCCGTCAGGAGCATCCGCAAGTCCGAACTGACTACGGGGGGGCCCCAGAGCGCGGCGGCTCGGCGAAGACCGCCGCCGCCGCCGCCGCCAAAAAGATCGAGAACGTATCTCCTCGGAGCCGTCAAGAGCGCCTGACGCGCTTGGGGTCGGGCTCCGCTCCGCGCCTGAGGCACGGCGGCGCGGGCGCCGCGCGCCCGCGGAGGAAGATCCCGAAAATCCCTTCGATCATCCTCATGCAGAGCCAGACGTGGCCCAGGTCCTCGGCATCTAGTTCCCGCCACGCCTGGTTGGCGCGCCCGGCCTTCTCGAGCCTCCTGACGCTCCGAAGGGCCTGCCACCTCCCGCGCTTCATCACTTGCTCCTGAATCCTGAGGTTCTTGGCGCGGTCGGCGCTGGCCCCCGCGTGACGCCCTTGATGCAGCACCGCCGCCCAGTTCAGGTTGGCGGACGCACTCGCGGTAGCTCCAATCCAGGAGGCGCGCCGAGCCCTGGGGGCGCCTGGAGAGCACCTGGTAGATCGCGTCCATCCAGCCGAACCTTCTCGAATCCAGAGGGATGCTGTCGTCGCTCTTGCCGGTCTTGGACCGCAGGTTGCCCTCCTGCGGGAAGAGCAAGAGGGCCCGCGTGGCCACCCCGCCGGGGGCGGGTGGCAGGAACGATGCCGGCGTCAGGCCCAGCATCTCTCCAGGGCGCAGGCGACCCTCTGCCATGATCAAAGTTAGCGCTGCGGCCATCGAAAAACCCAGCCTCGCGATTTCAACCACAATGGGCGCCCGCATGCCCACTGTCAAGGGCCTTCTCGAGCGAGATGGCGACGCTCTGCGCCATCCCATCAACGCGCGCAGGGTGCGCGGCAGCTTGTCGTAGCCGTTCGTCTCGTAGCGCGGTGAGTGGAAGATGATGCCCGCTAGGAGCTTCTCTCCCCCCCAGCGCTTGTGACCCTGCTCGAACTCGTGGTTCGTGAAGTCGGTCAGGGCGACGCCCAGGCGCGCGGGCTCCTCCAGCACCGTCTCTGAGAAGGGGCCCCAGCTCAAGAAGGCGAGGACGCGCTGGCGGTACTGGGCAGCAGCTGCCTCGGTCACGGACCTGGCCTCCAACGGCGTCAGCCGCGCGCCTAGGAGGGCCGCGCCTATCAGGGCGCTGAGGCACTGGCGCACGCAGTTCTTCCCGCGTCGGCGCAAGGCCCTCTGGCGGGCCGCTGTCGCCGCCCTCTCCTCGGGGTCCGAGGAGTCGTCGCTCTCGCCGCCGTCCTCTCTCTCCCTCGGCGTCCGCGGGGGCGCCTCGGCCAGCCGGGCCTGGCGCCCTGGCCCACCTGTCGGGGATCTCGTCCGCCACCTGCCCCAGGAAGGCCTGCGTCGTCTGCGCTCGAGCGGAGCCCGCGAGACGCTCGTGCCGGCCCTGCCCCAGAGCACGGCCGTGCATCGTCAGGCGGCTGGCCAGACCCCGCTCCAGGGTCAGGGCGCGTACGCGGGTCGCCTGCCCCTCCGAGCTCGGCCGAGCCAGGGACGCAGTCAAGCAGCGACTGCGCGCAAAGGCCGACGACGCGGGCGGACGTCCGCCCGGAGGGCGGCCGGGAGCCGACGGCAGCCGCCGGCGCCGGTCCCTCTGTGGCTCTCACAGCATCGGTCTGGCTGAGGCTCGGTGCGGAAACTGGATCGGCCTGAGAAACATATCTGGAGCCCACATGGCTAAGGAGGAGGTTCGAGTCGGGGGAGGGATCGGCCTGACTGACCTCAGGCTCGGGCTCCGCACGCGGCAGCTCGGTGCCCAGGTGAGAAACAAGGGTCTTCTCAGCGTCATACAAAGTGTCGTATATTCGGCTCCCCATCGTCCCCAGACTTGAACTCGCTGGGGTCCATCGGAAATGAAGTCGGACATTCCGAGCGAGGGCCAGACTAAATAATCGCCTTAGTTGCGCAAGCACCCTGAAATCCCTCGACCTCCCCCGAGCGAAACAAAGCGTGATGGCCGAATTATCGCCGAACAAGAAGGCGCGACAGTTTTTTCACACCCCCAATGTGCAGGGCGCGAGCTCCGGCCTTGACCGCCGCTCTGGCCTCAAGGCGCAAAATGTCGTCGGCATGGAGCCAGCGATCAGCGAGAATAGTGCGCCAGCGGTCGCCGGCAAGGAGGCGGCTGGGCACCTCTGCAAAATCCTCATTGCGCCCCCATCGCGCCGCCTCCAGGATCTCCCTCGCCTCCCTGTCGAGCCGCGCGGGCCGGCCGAGGAAGTCGCGCTCCGCGTCGCCGCTCTCAGGGTCCACCTGGAAGCCGGCGACCTCGAAGGCGTGCTCTCGGGCCCGGGCGCCGCCCAGGCGGTGGCGACTGAGCTCCGGCACGCGCCCGACCTCGGCCGCGCCCCGATGCGACCAAGGGGGCTGGGAGACGCCGAAGCCGCGGGGGCTCGCGTCGCTGGCGTAGACGCAGGGCGTCCACGGCTGGCTCCAGTCGGCCTCGACGAAGATCATGGCCCCGAGGAAAGCGTTGAGCTCCTCCCGAGCCGAGACCCGCAGCCGCTGGAATTTCGTGTAGGACTCCCGAACGAAGCGATACACCGCGTGGAAGATCGAGATCGAGAAGCCCCCGACGCATCAAACTCAGGAAAGTGACGCGCCCTAAGACGGCCTCGACCTGCCAGCCAGAGACCTTCCTCAGCTGAAGCAGCGCCCGGACGCCACGGCGCACCAGAGCGAAACGCTTGTCGCTGGGCCGGGCGACTCGGGCGTCGCCGTCAAGATGCCAGCCCAAGGGCGGCCCGCCGTGGTCGAAAACCTCCATCTCGTGGATGCGCAGCGCGTCGGCGTCAAAGTCCCTCTGGGCCCCCGCCGGAGCGCGACCCGCCAGGTCGCCGTCGAAGGAGAGCGCGCCAGCGTTGTCAAAGTACATGAAGTGGCCTGATCCTGCCGAGGCGGATGGCTCGCCGAGGACCAGGGGGGGCCCCCGGTCCGAGAGCTCCTGGCTCTGCCGCAGCGCGGGCTGGCGACCCCGGCGCTGGGCGTTCGCCGTCTCGGCGAAGTGCAACGACCGCGAGAAGCCCATCGGGAGGCTCGCGCACATGGGCCAGATCTTCTCGTCCGGCCTCGCAGCCACGCCGTCGACCTCGGAGGCGCCGGCGTGCTTGGACGCGAGGGGCGGCCAGTAGAAACAACGCCGAATGTCGGCCCCCCGCCGTCTTCACCAACCTCATCCTTTGGAAGCAGTCCGCGACGTCCCCGACGCCGAGGTGGACCCGCAGGCCCTTCAGGAGGCCCTCGGGGTCGTCGATCTCCACCCTGGACAAACCCTCGCCGCTCGAGGGCGACGCCTGGAAGCTTCTGGAACAGCTGGTTGGCTCGCCGGCAGTCGACGATCAACCTGAGCTTGTCGGGCTTCTTGGCGACGAAAAAGACGCCCAGCGCGCAGGCCGGGTCTCGAGCGAGGGTCGCCATGCCGACCCTCGCTACCCTTCGCGCAAAGCGGCCGTAGGTGCGAGGATCCTTCTGCAGCGCCGGGTCGGCGTGGCAGCCCGGCACCCCTTCGTGCTGTTGCATTAGTTCCGACTCCTGCGCGGGCCGGAGCATGAGCCTCTCAAAATCCTCGAGGTGCTTCCTCGCCTCCGAAGGCAACGTCGAGATGAGCGACGGCGAGTCATGCAAGTCACTCGGCATAGATACCATCGAGTACTCGTAGGACCCGCCACTGCATGAAGGCGCCGGCGCGTAGCCCGAGCGCCCCTTCCAGGGTCTGGCCAAGGCTCCACATTCGCCGACGGCGCTGTCAACGTCGCACCAGCGGGGGTCTGCCTCCACGACGCGCTGCCGCACATCAGCCTGCAGGCCCAAAACCTTCTTCTCGGTGGGCGCCGACATCTGCCGTGGGGCAGGCCGATGATCCCCTCCACGCATCCAGTTCAGCGCCTCGATGGCCGCGTGGATGTCTCGCAGCAGCCGCCTGCGCCCCCCGCCCGTGGCGGCCGCGGGGATGCCCGCGACGCTCAGAGGAGGGAGAGGCAGGGAGGCACGAGCCCTGTGGGGTTCGCGGGCGACGGTCGGGCCATCGTCGCCCTCGGCGACCAGCGTCGCGTGGCCGGCGGCCGCGCGCCTCGCCCGCGGCCGCCTCTACCTCTCCCTCCTCCTGCTCTGCCTCCGCCGGCCTGGTCCCCCTCCGCCTGCGAGGGGGGGCCCCCTGTGAGGGCGGCGGCGGCCGCGGCGTCGGCACCTTGGGCGGCCCCCGAGCGGGGCGCGCGGGCGCGGACACGGAGGCTCTCCAGCTCCAGCTCGTCCTTCGCCCGGCGCGCGGCGCACGTGCGCATCTCCTCGGGGGCGAGGTGCTTGGCCGCGCTCCAAATGGGATTGTCAGCGCCCTTCGCGCAGGCCCCCGCGTGCTGCAGCAGCCGCTGGGCGACCGCCTCCAGGGCCGCAACGCCCCCCCGAGTTCAGCTGGTCGTAGCTGCCGGCCAGCCAGAGACACTCGATGAGGCACTCGACCTCGTGCCAGGCCCGGTCCTTGCGCGAGATGCCGACCTCGCGGGCCCACTCGGCGAACCAGGCCTTGGGCGCCCCGCCGCGCTTGTGGAACTTCCTGCAGACGGGGGGGCACGCTGGGGGCCCTGTGAGCCCAGCAGTCTGGGCGCTCTCCTGAGCGGCCTCCTGCAGCACCCTCTTCCGCTCCTTGTGCCTGACCCCCGCGTCGTCGTAATTCGTCGATCCAGCGCGCGCGGAGGTCGTCGACCTCGGCCGCCTCGGCTCGGGCCGTGGAGGGCGCCAGCGCGGGCGGCCGAGGTGGCCCGTCGTCGAGCAGCCTCTTCTCGAGCTGCTCGCCACCGCCACGGAGACGGGAGGCCCCCAGCTGCTTGGCCTCGCGCCACTCCGCCACGCGACGGAGCTCGACGAACTTCACAGGGTGATGACCTCCGCTGCGGTCGGTGGCGATGCCGCACTCGCCGCGCCCACGCAGCTCGACGCGCGGCGGCTGGCCAGGACGCAGCTCGGTGCCGAATGCGAAGGCCCCGTCCCGACAGGCCAGGTCGCTGCACAGCCAGCCATGCCCGTCGGCAGCCTCTGGCAAGGGCGTGGGGGTGCCGCCGCCCGGCTCCGACGCTGGCACGAAAGCAGCCCCCGCGCCTTCGACGTCGCCGACGGGGAGGGGCATGGCCTGCTTGCCCCGGAGCCAGCGGCCCCAGGCACTGAGGCGCGGCGCCTGCAACGGGGAGTAGGCCGGAAAGTCCAGCCGGCCCCCCTTTCAGTTCACCGCGTCGGGCACGCTGAAATCGGGCCCCGCACTCCCCGTCATCACGGCGGCCTCGGCGCGCGCCCTCTTGACGAGCTCAGCCACCTCGTCCGGCTCCAGCGCCCGGCTGAACACCACCACCTGAGGGACGCCCGCCGGGTAGCCCTTCCGCCCTGTGAGCAGGGCCGGGCTGCTGTAGTCGGTCTCGTGCTCCACGTGGAAGTCGCCCCCAGGCGTGTAGACGTAGCTGGCCCAGCGGCCGCCGTCCGAGTCTGGCGGGACGGGCCACAGAAAAAACCTCTCGTGGGCCCAGCTGGGGTCGCTCGAGAACGTGACCAGCCCCCTCGACCCTGGCGTGGGATGAGCGACCGTCTCGAAGAGCGACCTCGGCGGCAGGTGAATCATTTGATCTGCAGGCGGGCCTCGCCCAGAGGCTGCCTCCGGCGGAGGTCGCTCGCCCTCCGCGCACAGCAGCGTCAGGCGCCCCAGGCAAGCCCGGCCCCACCGCCGCCCAGCGCCGGCAGGAGCAGCCAGCTGGGGATCTCCACCGTCGAACCCGTCACGCCGTCGCCCAGGACGTGGAAGCTCTCTGGCCCGCCGCGCGGGCACTCAAGGGGCTCGGGCGGAGGGCAGGGGAGCGGAGCGTCGACGACCACCGTCGTCCAGGTCACACTGGTCTCGGTCGTGCTGGTGGTACTGGACGTCCAAATGACCCTGACGAAACCGCCCGAACACCACCCGTCGCCAAGCCAATTGGCGGAGTGGAGCAGCACGCCAGTCGCCAGACACGAGGCGGCGATCGCACTGCTCGTGGCGTTCCCCACAATCATGCTGGCGTTTTTAGCTTGAGCAACATTACGGCGACAGACCTAAAACTCTTAGCAAACCCCTGCCGCGCAGAAGCAGTGTTTTCACGTCCCGCTCGCAGGAATTCCGAGGATGTCTCGCGCGTGCCGCGTCCCGCGCGCAGGATTTTCGAGGATGTCTCGGCTAATTCGTTTGTTTTGCCAGGATTTCTCTGGATTTTGACCGGATGTCTCGAGCGAGACGCTTTTCCCCAGCACGTTCAGTAGCGCGTCCCCTTGGCACATCCCGCGGTGCGTCCCCATGGCGCGTCCCTTGGCACGTCGCTTGGCGCGTCCCTTGAGACGTTCCGCGGCGCGTCCTCCTGGCATGTCCCCCTGTCAATTAGCTCTGGGGCAGCTACTCTGTGTTCAGGCAGCTCGAGCTTAAGATCGAGATCAGTTCGGTCAGGACTCGGATGCAAAGGAGGACTCGATCCACGAGGCTATAGAGTACAATCGCGGCATGGCGCATCGCAATTCAGTACGGCGCAGCACAGCACATGTTTCGGCACAGTACATCAAGATCGATACACTCAACATTGCAACTTGGCGCGTTCCTTGGCACGTTCCGTGGCGCGTCCCTTGGCGAGTCTCCCTGGCACGTCGCGTGGCGCGTCCCCTGGCACATCCCGTGGCACATCCATTGGCGCGTTCCGCAGCGCGTCCCCTTGGCACGTCCCGCGGTGCGACCCCATGTCATGTCCCCTGGCACGTCGCCTGGCGCATCCCTTGGGACGTTTCGCGGCGCGTCCTCCTGACATGCTCCCCTGTCCATCAGCTCTGGGGTAGCTACTATGTGTTCAGGCAGCTCGAGCTTAAAATCCAGATCAGTTCGGTCAGGACTCGGATGCACAGGAGGACTCGATCCATGACGCTATAGAGCACAATCGCGGCATGGCGCATCGCAATTCAGCACGGTGCAGCACAGCACAGCCCTCGGCAGGGTACATCAAGATCGATACACTCAGCATTGCATTTGCCCGTCACCCAATTAGGTGTCTTTGAAAACGCTGCCATGTGCTACAGTTCTATATTCCTTTCCGGGTTCGTGGGTCGATCATGTTTCTCCGATTGCGCATGACACGATATGGTCCTCTTTGAAGGTCCAGGTCCGCTATGCCACGCGTCGGCGGATGGAGAAAAACAGCGCAACGAGAAGAGATGGGCGCGCGGGGTAGGATGTTAGATATGGCGCGGGCGCACCTGGCGTGTCCCTATCCTCTCTCTTTTCTGCCCCCCTCTCCCATACATAATCTCCACGCCATCATTCTATCCTCACCGCCTGGCTTTGCGCAAACCCAACTGTTGCATCCAACCTGCTGCTGCGCGACGGCCCGATTCGAAACAAGAGCCCGGCTCGACTTTGCGGCCACGCTGGTAACTTCGCCAGCACGAGACGGAGACAGGGGAGCCTTTAGCCCACCTGCTCAGCCGGGGGGGCATCCCCACCTGAATTCCCCGTGATGTCGCCCAGCGTCTTGCAAATGGCGATCGTGGGATAGCAGATGATGCCGCACGTGCCGACCATGCAAGGCACCTCCTCGTCGCACGGGATGGCGGCCGCGCCGGCAAGACAGCACATCTGGCCCTGCGACTTGATGCACACGGTAGGCGAAACGCAGCGGATCGCGCAGCAGACGCAGCACAGCGACTCTGCGCCCTGCTTGCAGCAGAACTCCATCTCGAGGCAGCACATCGTCTCGCTCGCCATGCACCCGATGCACCCATCCCCGAAGAGGCAGCCGTCGTACATGCAGCAGCACGCGTCGGTGACAATGATGGCGTTGTTGTCGAGCGCGTCTCCATCGCCTCCCATGGCTGCACGAGTCCTTTGGGGAAGCCTCGCACCGGATGCCTTCAGAGCCCCTTGGCGCCACGAGCACAAGAAGCGGCTCGAACCAGAGTTGCAGTGGAGGGGGAACGAGGAGGCACACCTGCAGTCGGATTCAGCAGCCAGGGCGAGTACAGTGAACGCCTTGTCACAAGGAAACTGGCTCACAAGGAGCGAGCTGCTCCTGCTGCAGCGTGGGCCTCATGTTCAAATCGGCGCTTTGCTTCCGTCGTTCAGAATGGCGCTCTCGCCCGGCGCGGGCCACTTTTCAAGATCCGAGTCCTTCTTCATCGTTGTCGCCCTCCTGAGTTCCCCTTCTCCACCTTCCCCTGGTCCTCCTGCTCCTCCCGCTCCTTCCACTCCAGAGCCTGCTGCTGCTGTTCGTCCTCGTCCTCCTCCTTATCTTTCTCGTTTTCCGCTGGCCGATCCTCCTGCTCATACGCCACCTCCTACGCCTCCTCCTGAGTTCCCCCACCTCCACCTTCCCCTGGTCCTGCTCCTCCCGCTCCTTCCACTCCAGAGCCTGCTGCTGCTGCTCGTCCTCGTCCTCCTCCTTGTCCTCCTCGTTTTCTGCTGGCCCATCCTCCTGCTCATACGCCACCTCCTATTCCGCCGAGCGCAACTCCCCTTTTTTTTTCCGATTGCGCATGACACGATATGGTCCTCTTTGAAGGTCCAGGTCCGCTATGCCACGCGTCGGCGGATGGAGAAAAACAGCGCAACGAGAAGAGATGGGCGTGCGGGGTAGGATGTTAGATATGGCGCGGGCGCACCTGAGGTGTCCCTATCCTCTCTCTCTTTTCTGCCCCCCTCTCCCATACATGATCTCCACGCCATCATTCTATCCTCACCGCCTGGCTTTGCGCAAACCCAACTGTTGCATCCAACCTGCTGCTGCGCGACGGCCCGATTCGAAACAAGAGCCCGGCTCGACTTTGCGGCCACGCTGGTAACTTCGCCAGCACGAGACGGAGACAGGGGAGCCTTTAGCCCACCTGCTCAGCCGGGGGGGCATCCCCACCTGAATTCCCCGTGATGTCGCCCAGCGTCTTGCAAATGGCGATCGTGGGATAGCAGATGATGCCGCACGTGCCGACCATGCAAGGCACCTCCTCGTCGCACGGGATGGCGGCCGCGCCGGCAAGACAGCACATCTGGCCCTGCGACTTGATGCACACGGTAGGCGAAACGCAGCGGATCGCGCAGCAGACGCAGCACAGCGACTCTGCGCCCTGCTTGCAGCAGAACTCCATCTCGAGGCAGCACATCGTCTCGCTCGCCATGCACCCGATGCACCCATCCCCGAAGAGGCAGCCGTCGTACATGCAGCAGCACGCGTCGGTGACAATGATGGCGTTGTTGTCGAGCGCGTCTCCATCGCCTCCCATGGCTGCACGAGTCCTTTGGGGAAGCCTCGCACCGGATGCCTTCAGAGCCCCTTGGCGCCACGAGCACAAGAAGCGGCTCGAACCAGAGTTGCAGTGGAGGGGGAACGAGGAGGCACACCTGCAGTCGGATTCAGCAGCCAGGGCGAGTACAGTGAACGCCTTGTCACAAGGAAACTGGCTCACAAGGAGCGAGCTGCTCCTGCTGCAGCGTGGGCCTCATGTTCAAATCGGCGCTTTGCTTCCGTCGTTCAGAATGGCGCTCTCGCCCGGCGCGGGCCACTTTTCAAGATCCGAGTCCTTCTTCATCGTTGTCGCCCTCCTGAGTTCCCCTTCTCCACCTTCCCCTGGTCCTCCTGCTCCTCCCGCTCCTTCCACTCCAGAGCCTGCTGCTGCTGTTCGTCCTCGTCCTCCTCCTTATCTTTCTCGTTTTCCGCTGGCCGATCCTCCTGCTCATACGCCACCTCCTACGCCTCCTCCTGAGTTCCCCCACCTCCACCTTCCCCTGGTCCTGCTCCTCCCGCTCCTTCCACTCCAGAGCCTGCTGCTGCTGCTCGTCCTCGTCCTCCTCCTTGTCCTCCTCGTTTTCTGCTGGCCCATCCTCCTGCTCATACGCCACCTCCTATTCCGCCGAGCGCAACTCCCTTTTTGTTCCGATTGCGCATGACACGATATGGTCCTCTTTGAAGGTCCAGGTCCGCTATGCCACGCGTCGGCGGATGGAGAAAACAGCGCAACGAGAAGAGATGGGCGTGCGGGGTAGGATGTTAGATATGGCGCGGGCGCACCTGGCGTGTCCCTATCCTCTCTCTTTTCTGCCCCCCTCTCCCATACATGATCTCCACGCCATCATTCTATCCTCACCGCCTGGCTTTGCGCAAACCCAACTGTTGCATCCAACCTGCTGCTGCGCGACGGCCCGATTCGAAACAAGAGCCCGGCTCGACTTTGCGGCCACGCTGGTAACTTCGCCAGCACGAGACGGAGACAGGGGAGCCTTTAGCCCACCTGCTCAGCGGGGGGGCATCCCCACCTGAATTCCCCGTGATGTCGCCCAGCGTCTTGCAAACGGCGATCGTGGGATAGCAGATGATGCCGCACGTGCCGACCATGCAAGGCACCTCCTCGTCGCACGGGATGGCGGCCGCGCCGGCAAGACAGCACATCTGGCCCTGCGACTTGATGCACACGGTAGGCGAAACGCAGCGGATCGCGCAGCAGACGCAGCACAGCGACTCTGCGCCCTGCTTGCAGCAGAACTCCATCTCGAGGCAGCACATCGTCTCGCTCGCCATGCACCCGATGCACCCATCCCCGAAGAGGCAGCCGTCGTACATGCAGCAGCACGCGTCGTGACAATGATGGCGTTGTTGTCGAGCGCGTCTCCATCGCCTCCCATGGCTGCACGAGTCCTTTGGGGAAGCCTCGCACTGGATGCCTTCAGAGCCCTTGGCGCCACGAGCACAAGAAGCGGCTCGAACCAGAGTTGCAATGGAGGGGGAACGAGGAGGCACACTGCAGTCGGATTCAGCAGCCAGGGCGAGTACAGTGAAAGCCTTGTCACAAGGAAACGGCTCCCAAGGAGCGAGCTGCTCCTGCTGCAGCGTGGGCCTCATGTTCAAATCGGCGCTTTGCTTCCGTCGTTCAGAATGGCGCTCTCGCCCGGCGCGGGCCACTTTTCAAGATCCGAGTCCTTCTTCATCGTTGTCGCCCTCCTGAGTTCCCCTTCTCCACCTTCCCCTGGTCCTCCTGCTCCTCCCGCTCCTTCCACTCCAGTGCCTGCTACTGCTGTTCGTCCTCGTCCTCCTCCTTATCTTTCTCGTTTTCCGCTGGCCGATCCTCCTGCTCATACGCCACCTCCTACGCCTCCTCCTGAGTTCCCCCATCTCCACCTTCCCCTGGTCCTGCTCCTCCCGCTCCTTCCACTCCAGAGCCTGCTGCTGCTGCTCGTCCTCGTCCTCCTCCTTGTCCTCCTCGTTTTCTGCTGGCCCATGCTCCTGCTCATACGCCACCTCCTATTCCGCTGAGCGCAACTCCCTTTTTGTTCCGATTGAAAATGCCACGATATGGTCCTCTTTGAAGGTCCAGGTCCGCTATGCCACGCGTCGGCGGATGGAGAAAAGCAGCGCAACGAGAAGAGATGGGCGTGCGGGGTAGGATGTTAGGTATGGCGCGGGCGCACCTGGCGTGTCCCTATCCTCTCTCTTTTCTGCCCCCCTCTCCCATACATAATCTCCACGCCATCATTCTATCCTCACCGCCTGGCTTTGCGCAAACCCAACTGTTGCATCCAACCTGCTGCTGCGCGACGGCCGGATTCGAAACAAGAGCCCGGCTCGACTTTGCGGCCACGCTGGTAACTTCGCCAGCACGAGACGGAGACAGGGGAGCCTTTAGCCCACCTGCTCAGCCGGGGGGGCATCCCCACCTGAATTCCCCGTGATGTCGCCCAGCGTCTTGCAAATGGCGATCGTGGGATAGCAGATGATGCCGCACGTGCCGACCATGCAAGGCACCTCCTCGTCGCACGGGATGGCGGCCGCGCCGGCAAGACAGCACATCTGGCCCTGCGACTTGATGCACACGGTAGGCGAAACGCAGCGGATCGCGCAGCAGACGCAGCACAGCGACTCTGCGCCCTGCTTGCAGCAGAACTCCATCTCGAGGCAGCACATCGTCTCGCTCGCCATGCACCCGATGCACCCATCCCCGAAGAGGCAGCCGTCGTACATGCAGCAGCACGCGTCGGTGACAATGATGGCGTTGTTGTCGAGCGCGTCTCCATCGCCTCCCATGGCTGCACGAGTCCTTTGGGGAAGCCTCGCACCGGATGCCTTCAAGCAGAGGGCCCCCCCTGGCGCCCCGAGCAAAAAAAAGCGGATCGAGCCGGAGTTGCAATGGAGGGGGGGGGGAACGAGGAGGCACACCTGCAGTCGGATTCCGAAGCCAGGGCGAGTACAAAGCCCTGTGACAAGGAGCTTGGCTCACGTGGAGCGCAGCTTCTTTTCGGCCCCAGTTGCGAGGAGCGCCCTGGGCGAGAGGAAGGACCCAAGGACCCCCTAGCCGCCTCCGAGACCGACGTGCTCCTCATTCCAGCGCGTTCGGGGCGTATACGCTTGTCAGGATGCTAGGCTCTTGCAAGAAGTCCCCCACCCGCTCCCAGTGCATGGGGGGAGTGGAGGAGGATGAGGAGGAGGAGGATGCAAGGGCGTCTGCAGAAGGATGCAAGGGCGTCCAACGAAACCCGATCGTCCCTGGACAATCACACATTATGAATACTACTCTCCTCTCTTCCCTGACTCTGTCTAGCACATGTTCGGCCCTCTACGCGTAAGGTGCTTACACACAGGATTTCAGATATTGATTTGTCTCAAGGTTTTTTACAATTCGATGGTCTCCGGTCTTTCACATGGTGCTCCCGCTGCAGCGTGAGCTTCATTTTCAGATCGGCGCTTTGCTCCCGTCGTTCAGAATGGCGCTCTCGCCCCAGCGAAGGCCACTTTTCAAGCTCCGAGTCCTTGTTCATCGTTGTCGCCCCCTCTCATGTCCCCATCTCCACGTTCCCCTGGTCCTCCTGCTCCTCCCGCTCCCTCATCTCCGGTGCCTGCTGCTGCTGTTCGTCCTTTGTCCTCCTCCTGATCATCCTCGTTTTCCTCTTGCCCATTCTCCTGCTCATACGCCACCTCCTCCTCCACTGTACGCAACTCCCTTTGTCCCCGATTGCGCATGACACGATAGGGTCCTCGTTGAAGGTCCAGGTCCGCTATGCGAAGGTGCCCTCCCCCAGGATGCACAACAAGATCCAGCGGACACAAAGAACATCAGGGTGCCCTCCCCGAACCGACCTAGATCGTATACCTCGGTCCGACCGCATGTGGATGCAAGGGGGAAGCTGGACGACAAGCATGAGGAGCCCAGCCAGTTGCCCAGACACCGCAGGCGGCGAGGGGGCTCGAAGCAGACCGGCACGCACCGAGAAACAGGAGGGCGCCAGCTGTACACGCATGCACCGATCCTGGCCAGGACAATCCGATCCTGGGCCCAGGATCGGCGCACACGCCTTGCTGGCTTGGCCAGGAAGGCCTGTGCACCGATCGTGGGCTCAGGACGGGCCTGGCCAAGATCGTTGTGTTGCATCTTCGGGGGACCTTGTCTGTTCTATCCACGTCCCTGTCCGCGTCGAATCCGTGTCGAGCTCGTCGAATCCGCGTCGAGGCCGTGCCGCATCCGCGTCGGACCCAGGCCAAATCCTCGCTGAGTCCGCATCGAGCCCGCGTCGGGCACCAGAGAAGACACCGAATTGGGGGACAGGCGAGGTCCCCCGAAGATGCGGCGTGAGTGTTGAGCAGGGGCCGACCGTCCTGGCATTCCTATTGTCCTACCACGAAATGTTCTTAGAGCCCAAAAATGTTCTAATAACGGCAACAATGTTCTTAGAACGGTAACATGATGTGTTAAACCAAGACAGTCCCATCCAGAAATGTTCTAAGAACATTCCGTGGGAGCCACAAAAGGTTCTTAGAATTGTATGCGACAAAGGCCGCCTCACACTGCAAAACCAAGGAAACGTTGATCATACTCAAGAAATGCTCCCAGAATGCACTTTGGACACTTATGTTAAAATACTCCAAAAATACTTTGGGAATTATCAAACAATCCTATTGTAAAACTAAGTCTTCTGATCGATGCCCCAGGGCCGCATCTATTCATGACAGCGGTACACGGCATAGCACGGCCCAGCATAGAACAACACAACATGATAACGTGACCGCGCCAACACCACATAACACGACATCATACCCCGGTGTCTCTATCCGAAACATAACTTAGCACACGTACAATCTTGTGACGTATGATAACCGCTGGTGTTTAAATGAAATAACAAGTGGTTGCGGCAATGTGAACAACGTGTTTGACCACCCGGGAAACGAAACATTGTGCGCGTATTCTAAGACTGTTGCATCACCTACGCGATATCGAGTTTAAGATGGGGGTGGCGGGCGGAGGGGGAAACCGTGAATATATTAGTTCGCGTTTCCTTATACCCCTGGCGGCCCCCGGTCCCTGGTCCTTGTCATACTCCTACCCATTCCTTCCCATGGCTGGCCTGTCATAGTCATGTTCCTACTCCGTCCTAAGTCTACCCGAAACGCACCTTTTTTCCTGGCCCGACTCTGATGTATTGACGCCAAAACTGCCTTTAGATCCATGTCCAACGGGGCCGCGCGCGGCGGGGGGGGCGAAAGCCCTGCTCCTAGCCAGCCTACAGCTATAAGCTAACTCGGCAGATGCCTCGATACTCCGAGGGGCCGCGCGCGGCGGCGAGGGCGAGAGCCCCACTCCCTAACTCCAACGGGGCCGCGCGCGGCGGAGGAACGGGGCGACACCCCGCAGCACCGCGGATCACGGCGGTTGCGGCGAAAGCCATAACCAAGACATGATCCGCCGATTGCTCCAGACTTACCCACGTTCAGACTCGGTCGCGCTTGTTTTGCTCGCGGTCCGACTCACTCGCTCCCAGACCCACTCGCGCTAGGACCCACTTACACTCTGACCCACCCACACTCCGACCCAACCATATGCAGGCACCTCACCACCACACGGTTCACACTCAGACCCGCGCGCTGGATTCACGCTCAGACACACCCCAAGAGGAAGCCACCAGGGAGGGGGGTCACTCGCCCGTTCGAGGCCAAGTGGCGGTGATGTATCGAGCGAGGCGCCCATTTGATTTTAAGTGACCGCGTCTGCATTGAAACCATACCGTTGGGACCTGAACGAGAGGAGAAGCACGAGTGTGAGAATGACGGCCACCAGGAAGTGGCTGCGTAGAGGTATGAACCCGCCAGCCCCTTGGGCGACAGGCCGTCTAACGATGTCCCTCTTTCCTATTCCACAACCCCTTCTTCCCCTTCGGTAAGGGGTTTACCCCTCCCCCTACCCCTCCCCTGGACCTGGACGGGGTCCCCTCGAGGGGCTGGAACGCCCAAGATGGTCCAAGATGGCTCTAAGAGGGCCTGCGATGCTCCAAGATTGCCCAAGATGGCTCAATACAGTGCAAGGTCGCTCAAGATGAGCTGCATCATGCTTCCAAGATGCCTCACGAGGGCCACAAGACGGCTGCAGGTGCTCTTGGAGACCCCTCGGGACCTCCCCGAGATGCCGAAACATACCAAACACATGGGCCAAAATCTGAGTTTTGCTTTCCCGCAGTTTCTCTTCCGATGCGGTTCTGGTGCCTCAAGATGGCGTCAATATGGCCAACGAATGCCCGGAGAAAAGGGCACAGGAAACCCCCGAGACGGCCCGACGAGCGCCCAACAGCGCCCCAAGAGAGACCCAATAACGCCCCAAGAGGCTATCTCGATGGCACCAGATGGGGGGGGGGGGCACCACGGGAGGACCCCCCCCCCCCCCCCAAAAAAACACTTCACCTACACACTCCACTGCGGCCCCAAGAGACCCTCCAGGTCCCCCAAGAAGCCCCCACAAGGAGCCCCAAGATGGCTTCAAGAGGGCCCCAATACCCCACCCCCTCAAAAAACATCGATAGGGCCCCAAGACAATCCAACGGAGCTCAGAGAGGACTCCAACACCCTGACCACCCTCCTCTCTTTGCCATTTTTGGTTCGCTATGTGTGCCCATTCTTGCCATTTCCCGTCGGCACATGGGCAGGGCTTCTGCATGGGCTGGCGGGGTTACGCGAAGCGTCAATAATTACGTTTCGACAGGGGCGGTGAGATGAGAAGGATGAGGGACGAGGGATGCCGAGAGGAACATCAGGAATAGGGCAAGGAGGGCGGGCACGATGAATAGGCCAGAAGAAGGGAAACGGAGGACTGTGAGTAAGGATCGAAGGACGGTGGCGCGAACGCCGATGACGGCGCGGCAGTTGTTCATTTCACATACGCGCTAGACGCATAGCGTCCCCAGGTACCCCCTGGGCGGGTCGACCCACCAGAACTCGTTCTGGCCTTCAAACAAAACCAGCCTGCTGCACATGGGTGAGACCTGCGTTTATCGAGCCCCCCCCCCCCCCGCCTGTCGTTGCATCCCTCATTGCGCTTCTCATTCTCGCCCTCCTGCTCGTCATCCGACTCGCCCCTCCCGCCCGATCTCTGGCTGGAAGCGTCGCATCCGAGAGCAACGCCATCGCGTTCCGAACAGCTGCGTGAACGGCTCGCGGCCTACTTCATGCGCAGTGCGTCGCGATACCGCGTGACGAGCAGCGGGTCGATGTCGTCGGGCGTGAGCTCCCATTTGCGAAGCTTGTTCTGCGTTGCCACCATCGCGCTCCCCAGTGAAATCTTGTTGCCCACGAGCGTCGGGTTGGCGAAGGACGCGCGCAACTCGCATTCACTGATGCGGCTCTTGATCTGCTTGGCGGCCGTCGGCGTCTCAGTAACCTCCTCGTCGGCGCCTTTGTAGTCAAGCCCGAAAGTTGCTGATTTCTGCTGCAAGGTCGCGAAGGCGTCCTCGAGCAATGCAAGCTTGTCCTGCCACTTGTGGGTCGGCGCGTCCTTCATGCCCCTCTCGTAGAACACGAGCAGCTCTGGTAGCGCACCCGCCTTTGATTTATTGCTCACCCAATCCGTGCACCCGTTGGTCTCGTCGATTGCCTTGCACAGGCTGAAGCCCTGCTCGACAACATCCGCGGTGTGCTTTTTTTTGCGGATGGCCTCCCCGATGCTGCCGCAGAAGTCGCCGCGCTCCTGGAGCAGCGTCGCCAAGTTGGGCGAAGCGTTCTCCACGACGGCGTCCAGCGCCAGCGGCTTGAAGTGCGCCTTCGCTTTA